GTCATGGCCTTTGGTTTAAAACATTACCCAAAGTCAATTGCAAAACTCATTATTTTGGATTTCAATGATTTATTCATGATTCATTCTGTAATATTTTTCATGAGTTAGGTCTTAAATCCTAGCTACTTTCATTGCAGAAAAGTATACTGCTTGAAAAATGTCAGAGATGAAAATTCTAAAATATCGGAAATGAAAACAGTTCCGGAAATAAAATGCAGCCATTGAAACCATGCACCGTGAGTGTCTTGAATCTAATCCACAATATCGTACAAGTTACATTAAAACATTATCTATGGAAAACATCCTTAATTTGGTATCATATGATTTTTGCCCGTTCACACATACAAGAAATTTTGCCCCATTTTAAATTCGCCCAGTCACAGTTCTGTTTAAGAATTTATACTGTGTATTTGAACTCGCCCCATTTTAAATTCACTCATATGTAGTTGTTGCGATAACAACAATTGATGGAACATTTCATATATTTTTTCAGCACTCTCCACAAATATAATCACCAACACATTAATTTAATATTCATTTCCATGATGAACACTGATCCAAAAGTCAAATCTCTTTACAGGAGGCATAGGGCACATTGGTCGTCATGCGCTGGGAATCGTTGCCATGTGTTGATTAAAGACGAAAAAAAAATTAAAACTGACCAACAGTTCATTGTCAGTTTTGCTCAATCACATTTTTCTGACTTAATTTGAATAAGCCTTAATAAGATTACACGAATACATGCCAAAATTACCTTTCTTTGCCTTTTTGCTATGGAAAACCTGCCGTTGCTATGGAGATCAATAATTATGCAATATTCAATAATGTGCTAGGGAGATCGAATTTAATTATACTGTTTCAAAATTTGTATCTCGTTTATCATAAATAACCGTTCATTTGATTTTTCCGTAATTTTTTTACATTGTTTCTCATTTAATGCATCAAGGAGCCCATTTTTGTTGCTAGGCAACAGATTCGATTTTCAAAAGAGCCCATGGATTTGACTTCAAATTCAAAAAGAGAAATACCTCTGCTTTTATGTGAGATACATGCAACAACTGTATTAATCTGGCCATTTTTAAAATTTGGCCTTGAATATTGCCAAAATCACGAAAAATGCTGAATCAGCAAAACTTGTAAAACATGTGTACCTTCCAATGTCTACCACAGAACTGACTTCAGACCTAAATATTTTTTATTACATTATTAAAACACAATAAATGTGTATCTTTATTACACCTATAAGTAAGAATAATTCTCATGGCATTTACCTGTTATTTTAAGCCTCAAAGATAGGTGATTTTTTGTCCTTCAACACTGAAAAATCCGCCGGTTGCTAAGGAAATTTCTTTGGCCGGGTTTCCATGGTTACCATGACTCAAAACATTTTTCATTTTACATACATTTTTCATACTTCAAAATAAATCTATGAGTAGAAAATCATCAAATTCTGAAAACCTTCATGTATCACTTTTTTACAGTTTTGTCTGATTTTTATGTGGACTGGTACTTAAATGTTGGTGGGGATATACTTGAAAGTATTTTGGCAAAGTAACAGTTGAAAATTAGTAGAATAGTATATTATTTTAAGCTTCTTTTTAGTCCCTCCTTATAGAAAAATTAAGGTAAGGTATTTTGTTGTTGTTGTTGCTTTTGTTGATAATTGACTTCCTCCTACATAAGTAAGGGGTCGGGATGGGTATAACACCTAAAAATATGCTCTGTAAAGCTATAAGCTAGTGTAAAATACACATTCTAATGCAAACACTATACATGTAGACATAACCTTATGATTTAGCACACAGTATTCATTACATTTCTTAATTCTTGTTTTATTCCACCCTTTTACTCAGTTCTGATAATATTTTTCATAGAATTTAATTTCATTTTTTGTAACGTCTTCTTTATACTGTATCATGATATGAAAAGTTAATTGAAGACAATTTCTTTTTATGTCCCCGTAATCGAAGATTCGGGGTATATAGTTTTGTCGTGTCCGTCTGTATGTCTAGCTGTCTATCTGGCGGTCTGTTTGTCCGCCAAAACTTTAACCTTGACCATAACTTTTCATTTATTGGAGCTATGATTTTCATATTTAATATGTGTATTCCTTGTGACAAGACCTTATTTTGGGTACCACCAAATTTGACATTTTGACGTTGGAGATGTCCGTACTTATGAAAAAAACTTTAACCTTGGCCTTAACTTTTGAACGATAAGGGCTAGGGTTTTATACTTCAAATATGTAATCCTTGTTACATTAAACATTTCTTAAGAAACCATCAACTTTGACCCTTTGACCTTTGTGTTTGACCTACCTTTCAAAAACTTTCCTTTAGCCATTACTTTTGAACAAGTGGTGCTAGGGCTTTCCTATTTTGCAATTGTATTTCTTGTGAGAAGACCCTACTTTGGGTACCAATATATTTAAATTGCATTTAAGAAAAGTTTGATCTTCGTTATGTTGCCATACAGGGGCATAGCTGTTTCACAAACACATCTTTTTTATATATAAGAGGAGTTGAGGATAAGAGGTGGATACCCCAAAGCATAACAGACGGACGGACGGACATCCCGATCACTATATACCCTCCCGTTTTTCAAGCGGAGGATATAATAATAATACTGCTGCCTTTTTCTGGTACGATGATTTCCACCATCGAAAAGCAATGTTTACATAACCCTTTAGGCTCGATAAATCTTTTACTCCTTTCGATTCTGAATCATCGTATTGACCTTAAAATATAGCTATAATTGTATGATGTTATGAGATCAACATATCATCAATTTATTCCCAGTTAGCTCAGGTGAGCATTTTGGCCAATATGCTTCTTTATCTATTTTTTTTTGCCCCCCCCCCCCCCCGAAAATTTTCAGCTTTAATCCACAGGGAGTCATTTTTCTACGGGGGTCATTTTTCTTCACGAAGGTTCTGCAAATTTTTAGGGTGGTGACACTTTTTCTACGGGCAAAAGGGTCATTTTCGACGTAGAATATTGACCAGGGGTCATTTTTCGCTGTCGAAAAATGACCCCCGGTCATTATTCGATGGGGGTCATTATTCGTCTTTACACCGGCGCACCCCGAAATTCTAATTTAAAAGTTATTTATCATTCAATAAATTTTATTTGTATTTTGTTAAATTCCGCAGAAATTTGAATAGCTTTTACATTATGAGGTTGATAAAAGTTATAACATTAAACTTGCAAAATTTGAACGTTCAAAGTTTCGAAATGGCTGAGAAATCGAGGTTAGATTCTATTAAGACAGGATCAGCATTGTTCGAAAATGGGACGTTTTTGGATAAGGTGGAGCAGAGAACAGTGATCCAATTCTGCGTAGGTACCGAAAAACAGCAACAGAGACCTAAAATTCTGTAAAAAGTCGAAAAAACGTAGCAAAGGAAGCCGTTCTTTAGTATTCATATAAGATATAAGCATATAAGATTTTTGTCGGGAGGAAACAGTTTACAGGATGATGTGTGCGAAGGAAGACCATCATTCCGAGAATGCAGTGCTGTATAAAAATGAATTTCGTGTAGTGACTTTGCCTTATTTCCGTAAATAAAATCGTGTTTTACGCAGACAGAGGTTTGATGAATTGCAGAATCTGAGACAGGAAGTGTTAAATGTTATTTTACGAAACCTAAACAGTTCGTGCACAATCATGATCACTGATTAAAGCGACATTGTAAAATGTATTGAAATAAACGGAGACATGTTGAGAAAAGTTACATGTATTAAGCTTTTGACGTCGGGTAACGTCAAGAATATTCGTTTTAGTGCTCTGGGTATGAGTGTGTATCTTTTTTGTATCTGATAAAGATATAACTATTTGTGCTTTGTTTTTGTTGAAAACTTGCATATTGATAAAATGAAATATGAATTTAATGAAAATAATAGTTTCATATATTTTATCAATGCTTGTCAGTAATTATCAATGTTGTCCACGAACTTTACGAACAACCCTCGTATATATAATTCACATATGATCATATTCCGATTTATGATTTGTTGATAACAGAAATAATGTTAAAGAAAATTGACATGGTTCCCCAGATTTTTTCCAACCCTCTGTTTTTGTCGTTTGCGTGGATGAAAGTTCTTCTGAATCTGGTAACGTTTTTCCTTTTATAATTTTTTCAGTTTCTGCAATGTTTCACATTATTTTTTTTTTTTGCCAAACCACTGAATTACACATTTTCCTTTAAGAAATCCTATCATTTATGTGAAGCGACTTTATATCTATGAAGATCTGTACATCATTTTAAAATCGAAGTTTAATATATTATCTTGATACCTTTTAGTAAGCCCTTCTTATACATGTACATAATACCGCATTTATTTTCTGATGAATTTTCATAAATTATAATTTATGTACATTTCTACATTTACATGATTTTTTTTTCTATGATTCTAAAAGAATACAGCCACTGAGTTGAAAGACGATATTAACAAGAGAGCTAACAGTACTTGAAACGTGACTTATTCTTATTTTTAAATAATAGATTAAGTGACATGTTTACAAATATTGCAACTCCAATTTCATTTCGGTCACACATTGATTTTGAGAAAAACAAAACCAGGAAGTCGTCTCATTTTTCATTTTAATAGCATGGAAGACATCATTAGAAACAAGGCCCGTATTTAAATATGGTCACCTTGTTTTCGAAATTAAAACAACACTAATCTGGAATTAAAGGTATATTTCTTCAGTTTAATAAATTTAAGGAATGAAGCTTATTTCAACTTATATTATACGATATAACATAACTTGGGGCAGTTTACGCTTTATAAACATCGAAGCAGAGAATTTCAGTGCAGACAATGAGACAGTTTTTCCCCCAGAATAAGGCTTCACATTGATTAAATTTTAAAAGTAACGTCAAGCGGAGTAATACGTTTTTTGACGTAACTCATTGTGACGTAGGCAAGTTATGTTATACAAAATAGATAAAATCTTTTATCCAATCAAATGACGTGTTACATGTAAAATTAAATTACTCTTACATAAAGCCACGAAGTCTTTGGAGAGAAATTCCATAATTTTTTCTCTTACATATTAGTTTCCAGGACTAACTTTGAAGAAATGAAGTCGAACATGACCCTGTTCCTTGTTTCACTCTACTGTATGATGGTCATTACCAGAGCTGATTCTCCAAAGCCAAAGACCTTCCGCCAGGACTATGTAACCTATAAAAATATATGCCGGGAAATGGACTGGATACCAAAGTGTGATTGTTATAAGGAAACTAATCGAGGTAAGTCGTTCAAAATAAATCTGTATTAATGCAGAATTCATTTTGCCTTCTGTCTGGATAACACTAAACTTTAATTTCAAATTCAAATTATCCATATCATGAATATATTTTTTGTCATATAAAAACGTAGAATGTCGAATTTTCTATTTATTGCTGTCTGTTTTTGATTCCTGTCGTGGGTCATTGAAAACGTTAGAATATCTAAATTAAAATTCTTTTCTGTTTCAACATTTTTTGATATATAGTGACATGGCTAAAGTTTAAAAATTTTAAGGTCCTGCCTCTTTTGGTTTTAGAAATTGGACAAGAAGGATCGAATCTATGAAAATATTTTAGGGCATTTAAATTTATTATTTCCCCCTTCATTTATGTCTTAGGCAAAACGAAAGTTTAATAACCCTTTTGGATACAAATTTCCAACAAAACACTTATGAATAAACCATTCGATAATTCCATAAAAAGTACCACACTTTTGAATTGCCAGTGGAATTAATACAATTAATCTCTATATAGTAATGACAGAAATGGTTTATTATTTTGCATATACTTATCGAGTTCTATATGCTAAATACAATTTAATAATTTCAGGTTGTCGTGGAAAGATTGTGGCATTTCATGCTATTCTATATAAAACACTTAACAACGTTCGAAAAAATACAGTCATAAAGTTCAGAAACGTTTTGACCAACGAAGGCGGAGGTTACGATGCGACAACAGGTAAATTTACCGCACCGGAGGATGGCGTCTACTCGTTTTCCTGGACATACTGCACAGACAAAGGATCCACTACATATATAGCTGGTATTGTAGATGGCACTACTCGTGCATACATATCCAACTCTAATCAGGCAAGTGGATGGCAAAACACGTCAGGACACCTTGTCATAAAAGTGAAAAAAGGAAATCAATTCTGGGTTCAAACCATCAGCAAAATTTCCAAACTCATTCATGAAAGTTACACTTTCCTGTCTGGGTACAAGTTGTCTGGTTGTTAATTTTTAAAAATATAAATTTTCCAACATATTTATTTTAAATGTATTTTGTTGTTGTACATGTGTACAGTGTGATGGAGTTTTCTTTCATGAAATGTGGAGATAAACAGTATTCAAGCTAACAAGTCAATAAAACAATACAAAATAGGAACGGAGCAAACACGGACGTCAAAGACATCAGGGGCGAGATCAGTTGATTGGAGGAATGGACAGCCCCTGCCGACCAGTCACACCCGCTGTATGCTCATTTTCATGAACGTAAAAACCGTCGTTGATTCATTGTCTAATAATGGACTAACACTTATGACTAACAATAAGTATGAAACACGTCCGTCAACATTTGACTCAATGATGAACTGTATTTGTTAACAAGTTCATTGTATCTACCATAGAATTTACGAAATGATAACTTTCTTCTTTTATCAACTTATTTGTAAATAATTTACTTAGTTTTTAAATTGTAGAGCATGCTCTTGTGAAACTGAGGGATACATATCCCGTTTACAGGTGTAAGTAAAATATCCAAATATGAAACGGATGTGTCAGACACTGTGGTATCTTTTATCTCAAGCTCTCCAGGATATACATGTATCGTATCGATATAAAAATGGAAATAAGCAGTGTTAATTGACAATACGTCGGCAAAATTATCTATTTTCGAGTTAAAGGTAACAGCAAGTGTTTTCTCCTTTTAACGTATAAGATTTTGAACAAATTCTTCTCATATGAATACAATAACAGGTCTGCTAATAACGGGGAACAATTGGTACTCAATGAAATTCCAATACATTTTTGTGAGACCTGATCTCCAAAAACCGCATAGATATTTTCAATCAGAAACTTTTTTCGTTCTGATATCAGCTTCAAAATTACTGGACGTATAAAAATGTTGCAATGATTGCCTATCCACGCTAGGATATCTTATAAAACTTTTTTCTTTCTTAAAATTAAAAGGTACTATTCTTTTACTTAAAAGCACATGATCAGGGCATAACGGGAAAATCCTTCATCAATTCAGCGTGTAAATAATGGACTAACAATTAGTACGAGGGGCATTTGGAAATAAATGAATATTGAATAAAAACTATTAAACATTGTTTTTCAGGAAAACTGATTGAAGAAAATTAAAATTTAATCAATTTTCTACAAAATGAGAATAAATTAATTTTTTTCAAATAACGCGAACCCGAAATCTTGACATATGACGTACACAACGTCTGCGACACTATAATTGAGCGAAACAATTGCAAGTGAAGTTCCTAATCATTTAGACGTTCATGGCAAACTAACAACCAAGCTATATGATAAACGTGATGACTTTAACTTTTCTATCGTCAACTTCCCTTACTTATGCAGCAACATACCTTCATCACCTGCATACGGAGTATATATATCTCAGTTGATTCGATACACTAGAGCTCGCTCTACGTATGAACATTTTCTAAAACGAGGTAAATTATTTACAAGCAAATTGATGAAACAAGAAAATCATCAGTCTCGTTTAAAGTCATCATTTTGCAAGTTCTATGGTCGATACAATGACCTTGTCAGGAAATACAATTTATCATTGAGTCAAATGCTGACTGACGCTTTTCATACGTGTACTTATTGTTAGTCCATTATTCATACACTGAATTGACGACGGATTTTTCCGTTATTTCCTGATAATGACAAGCAGCACACGGCGGGTGTGACCGGTCAGCAGGGGATGCTCACTCCTCCATGGCACCTGATCCCACCTCTGAAGTTTCAGAGGTCCGTATTTGCTCAGCCCCTATTTTGTATTGTTTTATGGACTTCGAGATTGACTACTGTTTGTTATCTCCATATTCTTCTTTTAACCACCGAACATGTATCTCTGCTGGTGGACAGTTTTCCGAGGATACTTGTCGTTCAATACCTATTCATTCATAAGTACACAGAATAATGAAATGTTACTGGCAGGTGCGTCGCCCAGTATAAAAAGGCATAACTCTTTAGAGTCTATAAGGGGCACAGACTCAAGTAGTTCATTTGGTGACCCTCGGATAATCCTCAGGGATATTAATCATATATGTCACATATACAGTCTTCAGATTTCCAGTTTTGGTATAAAACCAATACATCATACACAAAATTGAAAGAATGTAAGGTTCGATTCTATTACAGATTTAGATATATTTGATAATTCCTTTTCCGATCCCGTGTCTTCTGTTTCAAAATGTTCTGTGCGAAACTGTAACACCTGTGACATTTTGATAACTAACCCTTCTTTCAACAGTAATCTTACTGGACAGAGCTTCTATACTAAAACTTGGGAAAATCTGAACTGCAAATCTTCTAATGTTGTCTATGGAAAATAATGTAATCTGTGTGGACTTGTTAATGTTGCTGAAACCAAGAGATCGCTTAACAAAACAATATCAAGTCATCAATTTCAGATAAATCAGTCCACAGTGTAATAATGTAAATGTGATGGGACTTTTTAACCATACACAGAGACGTAAGCGTAGTCATGGGCATCGTTCGTACAATAAAGCCTCTTTTGATTCATTACTAACTTATAAAAATCAACAATTAGGTCTACATCATATTTGCACCAAACTTTACTCTGTTCCTTTAAATCTTTTAAGCAATCTTCTTGAAAAGGCAAAGGAAAGTCCAATTTTTCATTCCTCGTCACCAGAATATAGGCTCGGATCTGTGATTATGGATATTGCAAATCATAGGCTTTTAGAACCGGCACGTTTTACGGAAGAAAATGCAGCTAAAACAATCCGCCTTTTCCTTAATTAAACTTCAATATGCCAATAAAGGAATTGACGCGGTTAATACAAGTACATATGTAATATTCTTAATCACGAAAAGGTCCAGTCTTGCGTTCCACCATATTTTACGTTAAAGACTACACCTTGTATTTCCTACAAATATACATCGACCATCGCTTCCAAACTTTTCGATTACAACAAAAAAAAAAAAACTTTACATGGTTTGGATACCGAGTATTTGAAACATAATTCTCCATCGTGTTCATGTTCTTCTTCGCCCTATAACTATAGTCTTGGTGGACACGTTATTACAGGTGACGCAAATATAGTTAATAATGAGGACGTCAGATCACTTATTTTAAAAGGTCCCAAATATAGGGAACCCCGATCCTTCAACTGGCGTCGGCATTTCATAAATACCGATATTATGGATTCTGTTGAAAATTACGCCAGACGATGGGCCAGGTATGAAAAAGAACACGTTGACACCTTGTCAGAATGGATTAAATGTATTAGATCCATGTTAAAGTCGCGTATTAAAAGATTGAGAGGCAGTATGAAAACCATCTAATCCTTCTGTGTTCAAAAATTCAGAATTGAAAAGAGAATTAGATAGATGACATGATCAGCACGTTCTGGTCCCTATCGACAAAGCAGGTAACAACATTGTCTTCATTTGTAAGGTTCATTATATAAATTGTATTTTAGAAGAACTTGGATTTAATTCTACAAGTGGTAATCCTACTTACATCATTTCTACGGAAGAAATTCTTCAAAATCAAATGTCAGTTTTAAATATTTTTAATATTCCACTGAGCCCAAAGGAATTTGAACTACCCAATATATATATTGGATTCCGAAACTTCATAAAAACCCTTACAAAGATACATGGATGGTTCCAGTAAATGTTCAACCAAGCCTTTTTTGTTTCTTTTCACTAAGATATGGACAGTAAAGAAGAAAAACCTTCAGGAGTACTGTGCAACAATATATTCAAGAAGTGGTGTGAATCATGTGGGTACTTAAAAATTCCAAAGAACTTTTGAACAATTTGAAATCACAAGATTTAACCAAAATGAACAGCTTAAAAACTTACGACATTTCAACTTTATATACAACCATTCCCCTCCATAAATTAAGTCAAGGCTTTTTGATATCATCGACACCTGCTTTTTTAATAAAAATGGAACTCATAAAATCAACTTACCTGGTCATTGGTCATTTGCAAAATTATTTTGTTAAACACAATCTGATTGGACACACAAGTATTCTGAAGTTGACATCAGAGATGCTTGAGTTTCTGATTGACAATATTTATGTGGTTTTTGGAGACCAGGTATTCCAGCAATCTCTTGGAATTCCCATGGGTACCAATTGCGCTCCGTTATTAGCGGACCTATTTTTATATTCATATGAAGCAGAATTTGAGCAAAATCTTATGCGTGAAAAGAAGAAAACACTTGCTGTGGCCTTCAACTCGACATCTAGATATATCGACGACGTATTATCAATTAACAATGGTAATTTCCATTCCTCCGTCGATACGATATATCCTGGTGAGCTTGAGATAAAAGATAACACATAGTCTGACACATCTGTTTCATACTTGGATATTTTACTTGAAAAAGACGTTAATGGCAATCTAACAACCAAGCTATATGATAAACGTGATGACTTTAACTTTTATATCGTCAACTTCCCTTACTTATGCAGCAATATATCTTCATCATCTGCATACGGAGTTTATATATCTCAGTTGATTTGATACGCAAGAACATGCTCTCCGTACGAACAATTTCTAAACGAGGTAAATTATTGACAAACAAGTTGATGAAACAAGAATATCAGCAGTCTCGTTCTAAGTCATCATTCGTAAGCTCTATGGTCGATACAATGACATTGTGAGCAAATATGATTTATCACTGAGTCAAATGTTGACTGACGTTTTTCATACTAAAAGTTAGTACATTATCTATACATTGAATTAACGACGGATTTTTCCGTTATTTCCCGATAATGACAAAGAACACAAGTGTGAACGATCGGCAGGGGATGCTCATTCCTCCTCCTCCTGATCCCACCTCTGATGTTTTGGAGTTCTGTATTTGCCATGCTCCTATTATGTATTGATTTATGGACCTTGATATAGAATACTGTTCGTTATCTCCATATCTTTCAACTTAAGTACTACCAGATAAGCACCATTTTAGGTGTATCATATAATATCATTTAATATGTTTCTTTCCTAAATGGCAAGTTAATTCCTAATACACAAAAAGTCACTTTAAATCTCTGGTACGTATAGGTTCAGGTCCCTTTTGTTAATTGCACGTATGTACAATTTGCCTGTCTTGCATTGTCTTCTGTACCATACACCTATCAGAATTGCTTTCTTCTGTTTTAAGAATAGATATATGTAATTTTGAAAGTTTGGGTTATAAAATGAAAACTTCACTTGAAATGTACAAAGTGCATTCCTTGGATATCAATGAATAGTATGGAGATAACGAACAGTATTCAAATTCAAAGCCCATAAAACAATTCAAAATAGGAGCAGATCGAAGTGCACGGACCTCCAAAAAATCAGAGGTTGGATCAGGTGCAATGGAGGAGTGAGCATCCCCTGCCTAAATAAAATAAAATAAAATTATTCAGAAAATGATTCATGATAACAAAGGGCATGCTTACTTACTTTAGGCCTCTGATTTAATTAAATATATATCTCTAAATTGTTATTTTGTTTAATGTTTGGAGTATAGTCAGAGCTAGCATACATGAGCGTGGGACTCTAAACAAGCTAAACATTGTAATATTTAAAGGTTTTTCTTGTGAACAGAAGGTTAATAACTGATAACATGAATAATACTGCATGTTATTCCATATCTTTTAATCGTAACTAGTATGTAGATATACGGTGTATGTAAGAGTTTGCAGTTTAAATTCAAAAGTGATTTGTTCAGTTCACCTATCAGAACTACAAAAAATTACATTTGATAGTCTTACCTTTAATTTAATCATACAATCCAATATAATTTGAGCTCATGGGAACAAGGAAATGTCAACATTTTTAAAAACTTCTAAAATAGTTATGGAAGTTTTAACTTCAATCTGTCGCCGACAAGTAGACATATGTTGCCGACAAGTACAGATTTATAATACTTGGCTTGTTTTGTTTCCTAATAATGTTCTGAACTTAATCTTCATTTTTTTTTTAATCCAGGAAGAAGTGTTATAAAGGGTTATTAATCTTGCAACATAACCATCTAGACATTCTGATTCTTGCTTAGTATAAAAGAAAAAAAATCGTCACATTTTAATGGAATTTTTCTTCCGATATTAGAAGTCTGATATTGTAAGTACACATATATGGTTATTTTTATTTCAATTAAAACAGCACTATTGCAGCAACCTGAATCAGGAATAGGTAACGGATGCAAAAAATGATATTGCTTAGGGAAACAATTAAGCAAACTTTACAGTTCTTAGGCTGGTATCATTTGGACTATATGGTCTCATCAGAAGAAACCATATACTGCGTATAGTGGAAATTTGAACCGACTAGAAACGAGAGAATAATTTATGTCAAAACACTACATGTGATATTTACGTAGAGATATTGACAGATATTAATTATAACCAAATCTGAATCTGTTCAATGAGACATATGAAAAAAAAACCCAACAGTATTCGAGTTCGAGTAACTGATGTTAAAGTCCATTAAACAATTTAAAAAATGGAGCAGAGTAAACATGGACCTCCAGAACATCAGAGGTGAGATCAGGTGCTATGGATGAGTGAGCATCCCCCTGCCGACCCATCACACCACTTCATGCTCCTTGGCACAGACCATAATGACTTTGGCGTTACCATCGGACTTCAGAGTCCCATCGCATTTTGTAGTTATGCATAAATATTTTGATTAGCTTTTTATGAACCGATATTCTAAAGGGCTGTGGCTATGATTGTTACTATACTATTATCATGATTTGCAATTTGACAGTCTATCTTTATTTATTTAAATAAATGGCGTTCTTGAATGAGGGAAAAAGAATTGCTTTCTTGTCAACTGAAAAGAGGAAATGTACGCGGAAAAAGTGTTTAAAGAGTAAATTTAAATCAACAACTTTTACAAGCTGTGAACAAAAGAATGATACTATTTAAAAACTAATTTATACATAAAAAAGAAATAAGAGTATAGCTACATGTATGATACACTTAAAAAGCTAAATATTTTTTATTTACTTTATAGGAACATTATCAAGCTAGCAACAGATACCATTATTGTATTGTCAAGAAAACTACGATGTTTGTGTTGTGTATTTGTATATTCATCATCTCTTCTTCACGAGGTAGACAGGAAATGTCACTTTTTAATAATTTAATTTACAGAATGTATATTCCAAAACAAAATATTCTTGAAGATATATTTTCAATATAACAATATATATTATGAAATCACAATTTTCAAAATGCTGAAAAAGAGAAAGTTATATAAAATTCAGGATAAGGCACATTTTTAAATATATATATATTTTTTCAAATTTATAGCAATAGCCATCAAACGCCAATGGGCCTCAGAAGTTACAGCATTTTCGTCACAGTACGACGCAACTCGGTAAAGTCGTTTAAGGCTACTACATGTATATTAGATACAAAACTATTCTGTAACAACAATAAATATATCTCTAAGTTTTAAAAGTTTTAAATTATACTACTTTTATTTTTTAATGATCTAATATCTTTTTAAATCTTTTAGATACTCAGCGAAACAGATACTGGGTAAACCCAATGTTTATCCTCGCTATGGTGATATTCCGGGCACATGGGCACAGGCAAATGGACAACTGAACGCAGATCAGTTCATACAGGTACAGTAAATGTTATCTAAGACATATTTAAGACATGTAAGATACTATTATAAGGTAAAAGATGTGAAATAAAAATGCTGATGTTATTTCTTTTATTTTTCGGTAGGGGATTATGTCTTGATTAGATTTGGGAGTTCATATAAGATTCTCTCTCGTATAAAGATACCAAAGTTACGTAGTGCATGTACTTCCTTATCATTAATCATTTTGTTTATATGAGTAATATATTTCTACGTTGTCAGGTCAAGTTTGTTGAGAAGGTGTGGATTACTGAGATAAATATCTATGAAACATTAAATGCTGGGGCCGTCAAAAGAATATTGGCAAAGAACAAAGTTGACCAGTGGATTGAGATTTTTAAGGTTTCACAGGCACATTTAGTCAGGAAGTCTAGAATATTTTCACCCGAACTACAAGTGAGATATTTAAAGATGTATTTCCTTCTATACACATGTTCTCATTGGTTCCACGATTCCTATTCTATTTACTGGTTTTAATGTTTACCCCTTCATTCAACTGATTTTTGTTAAAAACACATTTTGTAGATATTATTGAATTTTTAACTCATTTTGTTTAGATAATTTTTCTAAGGAAGTTAATCATGAATATAAAAAAATACATTTTTAAAAGAAACCTTCTCTCCTTCACATTCCAAACACGCATCATTTCAGAAACAAATGATACGTAGATGATGGGATTAAAAATATATTTATATAACTAAACAACACTTTGAAATGAAATTTTATTCTGTTCAGAAAGTAAATTTTCCTGTAAACGAGCTAAGAATCGAAGTTGATTGTTCCGTGTCCCATTCATGGGTTGAGATTGACGCAGTTGAAATTGTTGGAGGTATTGTTTTAATATAAATATCACATGTCTTAAACATGTTAGAGATAAGAAAGCTGAATTAAATTCCAATAATTAAAATGAAATTAAGTTTACTTAATTATATATAAACTGGAACGCAAAAGAGAGTTTGTGGAAATTAATCATACGAAATTATATAAATATTCTTCAATATTAATGGATTTTGGCTGATAAATGGCTGAAATCATCAGTGTTTATTCTATTTGTATTTTTTTCATGACCAAAATGTATTTCCCCCCTTTACAAAGGTGAAGGGGATTGTCCAGAACAGTTTGAGAAGCTCTGGGATTCCTGTTATCTCATCAAAAAAGATAATGTTTCAGCAGACACAGCATTTGTGAGTTATAAAACACCTTTAAAAGTACAGATTATTAATATTACCTACAAAAACTAAGTACGAAATGATTTATCTGCTTCTCTGCATATATTTAAGGCTAAATGTTTAGACATGGGTGGATATCTGGCCAACTTTGAAACACTTGAAGAGGCTTTGCAAATGAAAGAATTTCTAAAGAAAATGATTACAGGTATTACACAGATTTCTCATTGGCATTTGTAATTATTAATGCCTTTGCCATGATTAAGTCTTATAATTAAATTTTTGATCAACTACATATTGATTTATGTCGGATTGTCATGGACAGGAATTCACTTCTACGTTGGGGGAAGAAACATCAACAGAAGAAAGCCCGGTGGGGATTGGAGATGGATCAAGCACGGACAAATGACTGAGATGAAATATCACGCCTTTGGAGCCGGACAGCCCAATGGATCAGACAGTTCTCCCCAAGACTGCATGTTCTTTTATGCAGGAGAACAATACATGTTCCACAGCGTCAATTGTGATGATGGTACACACCTTGGTGGTTATATCTGTGAAGCATGAAAATTGTTCATTTCTTTAAAATGCAATTAATCTTAAGCACGGTGTTAATGTTATTAATTAAACATATGAAAAAGAAAAAAGAGACCTTTACTGCACATAATGCCCTTCATCATTTCATCTTATAACAATCTACAAAATTCTGAAAGTGCAGTGTGTACTGCTCTTAAGGTTTTAGTGTAGAAAATGATGATGAAGACATCAAGAAATTGCATTTATTTTTTAACTATATCATATAAAGTCAGTATGAAGGATATGGAGATAACGAGCAGTATTCAATACCAAAGTCCATTAAACAATACAAATAGGAGCAGAGCAAACACGGACATCTGAAACATCAGAGGTGGGATCAAGAACCATCGAGTATCTACAGTTTTTTCTGTTTATATAGTATAATTGTTTGCAAATGCTACATATAATAGGGTAGAATTTTGACTGAAATATTTCATACTAAATTGTGGACCAATTATTTTATACTTTAAAATACCTAGATTATCTTCAGGTATAAATGGCCCGGTATAAACATGTACATGTATACAAAAATTAAGGCAGAATTATATAGGGTATGACCGTTGTCCAGCCCAATATTGATTAATTGCAGCGTCTCAATTTAAGGTTCGGAATCCACTTAAAGCTCTCTCCTACCCGTAGAGTTTGATCACAAAAAGTGTCGTAATCTTGAATATATACGCCTGTATGCTTTGACGTCATGTTAAGCCTTTCCATCGCAATTGAAATCATTGACAGCATCAATATACAGAATTATTTCGTAAACTGCAATTGGATATTAAATTATTGCATCAAAGTTCAATTTCCGACTCTGCTTTACTCGCATTGGCCATTATTTTAATGAGCTACGAAATAGTCTCTTCCTATTCAACAATGGCCAGAATGGGATAAGATTGTACTTTTTGACCGTGGTTTGCGACAATGGATTAAACAAAATACTATTTTTTGATTAATATGTAGACGATGCTACCGTTATGGCGAGCGCAGATATTTATTTTGAACAATTTAGATCGGGCTTGTCAAACTGCACGTGGCATTTGGAGCTTCTAGACTCTGACGTCACATGACGTCGTATGTAAGAGGACCGTTCAAAAATTACGCGGATTCTGCTATTATTTACTCTTACATTCTCATATAGTTATGAATTTTTTCAAAGAAATATGTATCTTACAAATTGCAACTAATTTTGGGCAAAATTTCTGTATTAAAAACGAAATTCTCCTAAAATTATCGCTGTGTTGATATCAATGATGGAGAGGTACGCAGCACGAAAAAAAAAAAAAAAAAAAAAAAAAAAAAAACATGAAACACAAACATGCGGAATCCAAAATTTATCTCAAATTTTCTACAATACGCGATATTTTTTGGACAATTTTCTCAAATGTATCTTTATATTGTTCTACTACTATGTATTTAAATTTCTGAAGTTTTGATATTTGAAGTACAAACAGAATTATAGTGATTTTTCTCTGATGCGATTCCTGTGAAATGACGTCTCCTGAATGACGGAGCAACAGACTTCTGTTAAATTATGCGTAACGTTCGAGTTATCGCAAACATAGTTCAAAAATATGCATAATAAAACATGAAGTAGGCTAGAGTTTTCGTGGCATTTGTCTACAAAAAGCAAATTGGAGATTTAGACCGTTAGATCTCGGCAAAAAGATGGAAGAACGGGAAGAAGATTATCGACGAAAACTTTATCTGGACTGTCAAGAACGCGATTGAGAGGGACCAATTTCACACTATCATATCTCATGAATACCTGCCGTTTTTGGTTTTAAAACAAAAAAGAATATGCTTTACTTGTTTTATTCATTTTAAGCTTGACAAGAAATGGTGTGCGGATGTTGAGTAGATAAGGTAATTCCAACTGTAAAGGAACTCTTGGGAAAATGTTGAGAAAATGAAAAATATTTTTTAATAATGCCCGTGACGTCGAAGATTTTGCTGCTCCGTGACTTAATGATATGTCCTGATTAATCACCCAAAATTGATACCAATTTACAACAATTCGATATGAAATTTTAAACACCATATAAGTAAAGATTTTTTTATATATATAATTATGTGTTACATTTTGCCCGATTATGTCGTCAAAAATATTTTTTCTGTGCAACAAGCTTTAAGTCCGCATAATTTTTGAACGGCCCTCGTAAGTTACGTTTCCAAAAAGAAGCCTGAACAGTGCTGAAAGTAAATGAAGAACGTTTCGACTACTATTTATCTTAAATATTTATCCATTAAATCAGGGCATGTTTACTTTTAGTTGAATTTTTGCTGCTATTTTCGCGAGAACGTAGCTTTAACAAGTAATGCATTGTGGGTCCAAATAACTGCATCAAAAAATTCTATCGAATGAATGTGGAGTAGTTCGAATTTTCTTTTTGCAAAGGCGTTGCTTTAAGAGTTCGCAGTGTCGAGAGTCTTTTAGCGACGCTCGCTCGCTCGCTATAAGTCCATGTTTCGGTTAAAATATTTCGCATTAGAAATTGAACGCTTTATTTTCCGTCATTGTGAAATAGTAATGATCTGTATTTAAAAAAATAAACAGGCTAAAGGTATTCAATGTTTAATGATGATGTTTTGATCAATTTTGAATAAATATAAACATGTTAAAATTGCATTGCTATTAATCAATAAAGATGAGATAAAGGCAAATTCATACGATTGATTACATGTAAGATGATGATTTTGCACCCTTAATGGTTTTAAGAATTATCTGCCATCTAAAAAATGAGAAAAGTTTTTATTTCTCATTTTTTTGTGGTAAATGATTCATTAAAGGGGGCCGACTTGGGTTTTATTGTGTGAAACCTACAATAGCGAAACTCTTCATTTTTATACCTTATATAACTTCCATTAGCTACAGTGTACATGTAAAGTTAGGGGGAAATCTCCCGCCCAGGCATTTTTGAGGGACCGTCTCAAAATACAAATACATTTATTATAGGATTATATTGAGAAATGCTAATTTTTAGCGTTTTAAAGCAAGTTATTCAAAAACTACAATAAACTTTTTGTACTAACTTAAATAATTGATGAGTAATACTTTATTATACACTACGTGTAAGAAATACAAAATTCTACCGTCTTATTACAAGAGGGGGCATTTCAAAATTCCAAAAATTAACGAATGCTCCTGTTCTGATTCTTTGATCTTATTTTGTTATTAGAACATTAGGTATTTCCTTTGTTTTCTTGGTGTCGTGTAACATTATGAAACTGTTTAAGACAAAGGAGTCACTAATAATTGGGTCAATCTCAGTTTTCTTTAATTACTCTCTTTTTAAATTTTTGTGTTCTGAATTCAGGAAAATCTTTTTCATTAATGCCTTGTCACTTGTATTGCAAACATGTCTTATACATTGCCCTTAATAAAGCCTTTAAAAACTGATTTTGGGTGATGGTTTTATATGTTGAGGTGCAAAGATTGCACATTTTTATATAGAGCTGCGCCGATTCTGTAGAGGCATTAATATTGGATCAAGGAGATTAATAATGGGGTTGAGATAAAAGGGTCCTGCATTTTGCTCAAGAAGAAGATAACTGATGTGTTTGCCACGACCACCAAGAGCTGTGATATACTGTATGCCATGTCAAAAATTGTGAAGAATGTGAGAAATCAAATCACTACAGTTACTGGACAATACAAATTGGCTTATATGATTCGATCGAAAATCATACTAAATTCGTCTACAATTACATTTGATGAGTTGATACGGCTTTCTACTACAGTTCATGAAGTTAGGACGATGCTAAAATCAGTGTATTTTTGATGTGGGTCTTCAAAACAATTATTCACTACAAATCATAAACCGAAAAATCAGATTTCTGATCATATAACTCGTTTAATCTCTTTGGATATTTGGAACTTTTCTGAAGATTATAATCAATACGATCAGATTTTTTTCGTCAGATTTCCAAGGAAAAAAAAATTTGAAGACGTAAAAATGACTAAACTTCAATATTTGACAGTGAAGAGATTTTTTTGCTGAAAATTGGCTTTAGAGAATTACCATAAATAAATGCTTTGTCAGAAAGAGTATTGTATGGCTTATGCATTGTTCATAGGATTTTATCATCTTTGACAAGCCCGTGTATCTGAACCTTTGCAAATATTGAATGATTATTGCAACGAATCCTTTTCAACACAAAATTGTGCACGTGTTTAAAGTTGGTTCATAACATTCGATGACGATATTTTGGAAACGCTTCAACTACTGCAACCAAATAACAATACTAAAAGATGAAGAAGAGAAACGAAAGAAAAAATTCTGATCAAAGTTTTACAATTTCAAAACTATTAAGAACGCATGTACATGCATTGAAATATTACCAATAATTTCCCACTCTATTTCATTTTCCAGTTCTTAGGAGAACAAATTCTTAGAATTATCCACTTTTGTAAAATTGTGACTTGATATTAAGTCTCTTCCCTAGAAAAAAAAAAATTGTTTGTATCATCTGTCCTTAAATAAGAAAAGTAATTTTTCTTATTAAAATATTACGTCATACATGTTATATTATTTACGCTACACTTCAGAAAATCTTGTCCCACGTTATGAAGTTCTTGCCGGGAAAAAGAAACGCCATATTTTGATGATGTGAACATTTAATGTATGTTGCATAACAGTTCAGTAGGTTGTAAAGAATTAATGGACCTTTGGACTATCTTTGGTAATTAGAAATGTAATTGGTTAGATATTTAGTAAGATAGATTTATAAAAAGGCATATCAATCAAAGTAAAATTAATGTTTTATAAGTACAGTGTATCGAATAAAAATGTCTGAGTCAGTTAGAAAAAAAAACACCTTTAGATTTAGTAATGTCTGTAAAAAGCGTAACGTTGGCGTCATTATCATAGTTAACTATTCTTTAAAGTGAGTTTTACCATGGTTATATATTTAAATCAATTTTAAAATGCTTTGTGTATAACATAATTAATCCAAGAAATTAATTGTTTTTTGTTTTATTACATATTGATCTTTTACATTTTGCGTTGTCT